CGTGGTGCTGGACCCGGCGCCTGAGTGCGTGGCCAAACTCCTGGCCATCGCCGTCGACCACATAGATACCCTGCTGGAGGACTGGTCGGTGGCTCCTCTTGCAGCTATATTAGTGATAGCAGTTATTATAATGACATTCTTAAAAATGAAAGCAATTAAGTGTATTGCCAGTACAAAGAAATTTGAATTAGTCAAGCTCTCCCTCTGTCATGGAATTAGTTCATGCTGCTCATGTTTGTTTAGTTTATCGAGGAACATAAGTGAGAACACTTTCCCAAAGATGCTTAGTGATAATTGAAGAACCTACTTCTTGGCTCGTGCTTAGTGTTCCTCCAATATGTTGAGTTAAGCCACAAAGGACACATGCCCTCAGGTACCCGATGTTGGGCACGCGTTTTGTGCACACAAGTGATGGCAACGACGACACTTTCCCCGATGTTGTTTAGTGATAATTGAAGAACCTTCTACTTGGTTCGCGCTTAATGTTGATCCAATATGTTCAGTTATGCCACAATATGTTGAGTTATGCCACAATATGTTGAGTTATGCCACAATATGTTGAGTTAGGCCACAATATGTTGATTTATGCCACAATATGTTCNGTCCGTGGTGGCAGGACGTGGCTACTGTCCGTGGTGGCAGGACGTGGCTACTGTCCGTGGTGGCAGGACGTGGCTACTGTCCGTGGTGGCAGGACGTGGCTACTGTCCGTGGTGGCAGGACGTGGCTACTGTCCGTGGTGGCAGGACGTGGCTACTGTCCGTGGTGGCAGGACGTGGCTACTGTCCGTGGTGGCAGGACGTGGCTACTGTCCGTGGTGGCAGGACGTGGCTACTGTCCGTGGTGGCAGGACGTGGCTACTGTCCGTGGTGGCAGGACGTGGCTACTGTCCGTGGTGGCAGGACGTGGCTACTGTCCGTGGTGGCAGGACGTGGCTACTGTCCGTGGTGGCAGGACGTGGCTACTGTCCGTGGTGGCAGGACGTGGCTACTGTCCGTGGTGGCAGGACGTGGCTACTGTCCGTGGTGGCAGGACGTGGCTACTGTCCGTGGTGGAAGGACGTGGCTACTGTCCGTGGTGGCAGGACGTGGCTACTGTGGTGATGTGCTGTTAACTAGGCATCAATATCTGCTTGCATCAATCAGCCACTGCGTTAACTAAGCAATCTTATTAAATGCATTAGCCAGTAGATGCATTTTTACTACAAATTTTTACCATGAGTATGAGAACATTGCTCTCACAAGGCACTTATTTCCCGATGTCTACATTGAGTTAATTTGTGGAATGTAGTTAGTTTTCTTCGTAATGAGTTTATCTTCATTCTATATATAGCGAATTTTCTCATTTATGAAAAAAGGGGGCAATTGTGCTCGTCATGTCCGTCTGTCTGTCCGTGACTTCACGTTTTCGTCGACGAAAAAATGCGCTCTCTGTCACTCACTGCAGTGAGTACCGAGTTATATTTTTTACCGATGTCTACATTGAGTTAATTTGTGGAATGTAGTTAGTTTTCTTCGTAATGAGTTTATCTTCATTATATTTTGTTTGCAGGTGAGCTGCAAGAGCCGGCACAACATCAAGCTGCTTTGCAACCTCATCTACGACACGGTGTTCTCCCTCAAGTCCCCAAGCTCCAAAGAACGTCTTCTGGAACAGAGGATCCCGGCCACTTACCTCGCCCTCGAAGACGTCGTGGCTCACCTCGCCCTCGAGAGACGGTATGTCTTCTGGACTGCGAGGTACTGTGTAAATAAATGGATAAATTCCAATTTCTATGTGCGAGCTACTGTATAAATAAATGAATTAATTCCAATTTCTATGTGTGAGGTATTGTATAAATAAATCTAAATATATTATTCCAAATAATAGGTAGTTTTGGCCACTGAAGTGTGTGGGAGAGTAATTTTCCATACTGCAATTAGGGTTTGTTGTAATTTTTATGTCTTGTAGAAAATTTGAAGTTATTTCTTTATTGCGAAGCTGCGTGAATCTGAGGGATAATCTCGCACATTTTCAATGCTTGTAATCTATCGTGTTAGCCGGGTGTTTGCAGCTGCAAATATGCCGTTCTTTCTATACTAAACCTCCAATTGAAATATACTGACACCTATTGCCCTGTAAACTTCATTCGAGTTTTTTCATTAAATTATTAGTTGTCGTTTGAATGTGATCCAAAGATAGCTTGGCATCTGCAGAGTTTCGATTTAACAGGCATTTGTCATAAAAGTCATAGGCCTGTGCCATAAAAGTCGTAGGCCTGTGCCATAAAAGTCACAGACCTGTGCCATAAAAGCCACAGGCCTGTGCCATAAAAGTTGTAGGCCTGTGCCATAAAAGTCACAGACCTGTGCCATAAAAGGCACAGACCTGTGCCATAAAAGTCACAGGCCTGTGCCATAAAAGTCACAGGCCTGTGCCATAAAAGTCACAGGCCTGTGCCATAATAGTTGTAGGTCTGTACCATAAAAGTCATAGTCCTGTGCCATAAAACCCACTAATGTAAATTTAATGACTGCCTCTTAGGTTGTCAGGCCGTGATCCTGTGCTGACAAGCGAGCGCTACCAAGCGCTGGTGACGGCTGAGCTCACAAGCCGCGGCATGAAGCCTTTCAGGGACACGGCTGAACTCAACCAAGCCACCAGCTTCCTGCATGAGAACGGTAAGAATTGCTGCCTGTTTAGCATGCATAACCTGAACTACGTTAGTTGTGGTTACGTTACAATATTTATCTAACGTAGGATAACGTATGATAGCTATAAAGGAATTGCCGCCTTCGTGGCATGCATAACATGAACTACTTTAATTGTAGTTACGTTACAATATGTATCCAACGTAGGATAACGTAACGTAACTCCAACGTATTTATTTACGTTAAAATATCTAGTGAATCAACGATCGTGAATGTGCTAAACCAAGCCACCAGCTTCCTGCATGAGAACGGTATGAATTGCCGCCTTCGTGGCTTGCATAACATGAACTACGTTAGGTGTAGGTATGTTACAATCTATCCAACGTAGGATAACGTAATGTAACTCCAACGTATTTATTTACGTTACAATGTTTATCTTTAGATTGAACCAACGATCGTGAATGTGCTATGTCAACTTGTTTGCTGGTCGTTCAAATTTTCAATAATAATTATATGTAAATTGAAAGATATTTATATATGTATACTGTACAAATTGAGACACTGTTAATTTAACGTCATGGTCAGCCAGATCTACCAGTTGCAGAGTCAGGGTCGGCAAAACAATACAAAAAAATATAAATCAGTACTCACTGCAGTTAGTGACAGAGAGCGCATTTTCTCGTCGACGAAAACGTGAAGTCACGGACGGACGGACGGACAGACGGACTTGGCGAGCACAATAGTGCATTTTTTTCCATAAATGAGAAAATGCGCTAAAAAGAAATCCGCTATGGAAACTTGCTGTTTTCGTTGCAAAGACCTTCTTGGTATCTATTTTGCTATTATATTTGATTTGTTTTAATCAATTTGTTTGATGATAGGCGTGTTGCTTCTTGAAAGCTATTTTGCTGTTATATTTTATTTGTTTCAATGAATTTGTTTGATGACAGGCGTGTTGCTACACTACGACGACGCGACGCTCAAGGAGCTCTACTTCCTGGACCCGCAGTGGCTGTGCGACATGCTGGCGCACGTTCTCGTCGACGAAAACGTGAAGTCACAGACGGACAGACAGACGGACATGGCGAGCACAATAGTGCATTTTTCCATGAATGAGAAAATAGGCTTAAAAGAAATCCGCTATCGAAACTTGCTGTTTACTTTGCAATGACCTTCGTAGTAGTTATTTTGTTATTATATTTTATTCAAGTAATTTGTTTAATGACAGGCGTGTTGCTTCTTGAAAGCTATTTTGCTGTTATATTTTATTTTATTCAAGTAATTTCTTTGATGACAGGCGTGTTGCTACACTACGACGACGCGACGCTGAAGGAGCTCTACTTCCTGGACCCGCAGTGGCTGTGCGACATGCTGGCGCACGTTGTCACCATCAGGGAGATAAACCCCTTCGCTAAAAATGGTAGGAACGACAAGATATTTGTGCTCGATGTAGGATTTTTTCAGGGGTTTATCCTATACCTACGCCAGCATCAGCGCTTACACACTTGGGCTCGATGTAGGATTTTTCAGTGGTTTATTCTACACGGTACCTACGCCAGCATCAACGCTTAACCAATTTGCTAAAAATGGTAGGAACGACAACACACTTGAGGGCTCGATGTAGGATTTTTTCGCAGTGGTTTATCCTGTACCTACGTCAGCATCAGCGCTTTCGGTCAACTTGCTATAAAACGAGAGTGCATTAAAATTGTTGAACTTTCCTCTTAATTTTCATTTAGTCTCTCTGTCTTCACTTCTCTGTCTTGTCATCATTTCAACTCATTACCTTAATCATGCCGTCGGCCATGAGTAGTTGCGTAATCGTGCAGTTGGAATGCTAAAAAATTGCCGTGTTTGTGCTTGAATGCTGAAACTTTTGTAATTAATCAATATTAGTCTCGCTCCGAGAATCTTCGTTGGTTTATTAGTTACATTACGAATTTTCCAGTGTGTTAAAAACCCACTTGTATTTATGAGGCTAGATGTGGTCTAGAGACCTAGGGTTCTCCCTGGACAAACACGGCAACGTCATCACCTGCTGCAGACAGCGAGAATTGCGTCATCACAGCTTGTGGACTCACGCGGTCAAAGTACGCTGGACAAGCCCATTTCGGTCCTTTAATTTAGCTTTAAGATTGGTCCTTTAATTTAGCCGGTCGGTCCTTTAAGCCCATGTCGGTCCTTTAAGCCCATGTCGGTCCTTTAAGCCCATGTCGGTCCTTCAATTTAGCTTTAAGATTGGTCCTTTAATTTAACCGGTCGCTCCTTTAAGCTCATGTCGCTCCTTTAATTTAGCTTTAAGATCGGTCCTTTAATTTAGCTTTAAGATCGGTCCTTTAATTTAGCCGGTGGGTCCTTTAAGCCCATGTCGGTCCTTTAATTTAGCTTTAAGATCGTATATTTAATTCAGTCGGTCGGTCCTTTAAGCCCATGTCGGTCCTTTAATTTAGCTTTAAGATCGGTCCTTTAATTTAGCCGGTCGGTCCTTTAAGCCCATGTCGGTCCT